AGGAGGCAGCACAGGCAGTATCCATCACCCATGTGCCAGCACCGGAGTTCCTCCACACCCCTTCATGACCGTGGCCCTTTGGAGTCACACAAGAGGGCGTGAAGCAGGTCCTTGAGGTGGGACCATGACAGCCAGTGTCCAGCTCAGCTCCAGAGGGGCAACTACTCCATCTTCTGCAGGGCCAGCGCAGAGCAGCGGGGCTCGGGCTGCCACCACTGGCAGTAACATGGAAGCTCCTAGTTCTGAATGGGGATGCCAGGCCATTTGGCAAAGACCCAGCAATAACACCAGCGAGGAGTCCAGGAGAGCTGGCATTGCTCCTGCCAACGGTACTGAGGGGCACACGGTGGCAGCAGAGCTCCTGCAGCCATCCTGCACACAGAGCCTGGGCACACACCGTGACAACCCAGGATGCCCAGGGTCTGGCCATTGGGGAAAATCCATGATGAGCCTCTTGCCAAGTCGTGATCTTGGGAAAAACAAAGAACTTGCCCCAGCTGCCCATCACCTTCATTTTGTCGTGCAAGGAGAGGGACTTGGCGGAGAGACAGGCCTTGCTCTTGGTCAGCAAAGGCTCTTTCCTGTCTTTGCCCAGGGATGGTGCTGGCTGGCGGAACATGGACATGGGGGACTCTGCCCAGCAGGCAGTTGTGGAGCCAGCGCTGCCATGCGCTGGAGCTGTCTCCATGCAGCCATCTGTAGAGTGCAGCTCCATGGGGAAAGGGTGTGGGAAACCAGGCGCCAGCTCTTGTCCCACAGGGCCACCGCAAATGCCACGCTGCTCCTGCTCGCGTTTGCTGACATGCAGGAACCTCTCTGCAACCTGGCTGCGGCTCTGGCCAGTGCTAACCACACTTGTCTCGCTTGCAATGTCTGTGTGTTTCAGTTCTCTTTGAGTTCAGACCAAACCCCCGATGACACCATAGTGCGAACACTTTGCTTCCTCCCTTTCTTTCACTTTTTTTACTTTTTCTTCCAGTTTGAGCACTTCAGCTTGCCTGACCTGGTGTCTACAGACCTCACTTTGGTGCTGCATTGCTGCAGACAGGGTTCACAGAGAGGGTGGCTGAGTGTTGGAGAGCCTCAAAGACTCACAGGGTGCTCCTTGCTCTGCAGCCAAGGCTTTTGCCGTGACCTGAGCTGCTCCAAGGGTGACAGGTAGTGTGAGGGGGGCCTGGGCTGCTCGTGTGGCTTGGAGCTGCCTGCTTATCTCCTGCCAAGGTCACAGGCCCATCCCTCTCTCTCATGTGGCAGAGGAAGAAAAACCCCTTCCCTTTCCCTCACTGCAGTGCATCTCTGCAGCTGGGCAGCTTCTCTGCTGCTTCTTTCTCCATCTGCATGGATGCTCGCGCCTTTGGTCCCCTTCCTTTGGTAGGACTTGACGTTAGCAGCAGAGGACTCTCCAGAGCACAGCGGCTTTTGCCCAGGAGCCAGTGTAAGCCAAGAGCCTGGGGCAATGGAGACGAGAACCTCTGGAGAGGAGATGTGCCCCCGCACAAGGACAACTCCTGCCTGCACCTCTTCTGCTTCAGCTGCATCTGCTAGTGATTGGCCACAGTACCTGACCTGCTCTAACAAGGTCTGACTTGCTCACACCAAAATAAGTTTTTTTTTTTTAGAGAATGGACCCTACTTTAAGATAAGTCTGCTGCCTTCCTGGTGTCTTGGTTAAGGATGTTACAGGAAACTTCTCAGAGGGTTTCAACCCTCTGACTATTACCTGTTGGTGGTTCCTGAAGGAGAGGAAATGTCAATGTGCAGCCCAACAGCAATCAAAAGGGACTTTGAGGATTTGGGATGGATGGTCAGGAACTTCGGTGTGTAAGTTATCTTCTCCATCTCTCCAGTGCTGACAGCAACAGTCTATTAACACCTGGGTCCCTGGCTGGTGTCAGGACGAAAACTTTGGGTTCTTCAGTAACAAGAAACCTTACACGGCACTTACAGGTGTGCCCTAGCCAGACAGGACTCTGTTTGGAAGGCCAAAGCGGGGCTTGGCACAGCACCCATTCTCTTCGCTAGCCATTGCATGGCCCGGCTGCATGCAGGGCTGTGGCACCTGCTTTATTATTTGCTTAAATGCTCTAGGAAAGAGCTCATCGTAATAATGAAGAGAATAAGCCTCAGCCAGATGGTTTGTGTGTAACAGAGGAACCAAGCTGTCACACACTTCATTCCATCCTCCAGAACTTCTGCAGCAGCCAAGGTCACCCCCTGACTCCTCCCTTTTCCAGGCCCTTGGTGCCCCAGGGCCAGTTGGACCCAGTTTTGACTGGTCTCATCTTTCTCGCAGCTCCTGCAAGCTCCAGGGCTGGCTAGTCTTCCCCAGAATTGCCCTTGCAAGGGTTTACTTTTAAATCCCTGAACGGTTAGTAAATCTCAAAGTGCAGTATGTAGTGTGTATATACACACAGCAGCCACCACAGCCAGCAACGCAGCAGAGGGAAGGGCTGGGCTGGGAGTCGGGGCTGCTGGATCTGGGGGAACAATCCCAGTGCGCAGAGCCCTTGTGGGTCCTGCCTAGGGAGTCGGGTGCTTGGACTCTGTTGCTGGGCATGTGCCTGGAGCGCCTTTGGGTGATCTTGAGGGCAGCCCAACCTCTTGCTTTGCCCTTCTTCTCCCTTTCCCTTGTTGGACATGGACAGTCTTTGCCTAGAAGCTGCACTTGCTGCCATTGTGCAGAGGGGCCTTTTGTCCAGCCCCTGGATTTTTTTCACATCCTTTAAGGATAAGATTGGACAGCTCAGGAATTCTCTAGTTGGACAGTTTTTCTGCTGTTACTTTTTCAGCCTGGAGGGGAGTAATGAACTTGGCCTCCTTTTCTTTTTTGGAACTGGAGGATGGCATCTTTTCGGCGAGAACCAGAATGAACACCTCCATTTGCCCGAGGCAATGGGACCTGATGTGCCCTATCTACTGGGCACAACGACAACTGCTGCCTACCTGGCCATCTGCCTGTACCGTTTTCCTTCAGCTGCATCCAGCAGCTGTCGAGCACCAGTACAGTGTGTCCACTCCACAGATGACTGTTTGATACCATCTTCTGCTGAGTGCAAGGGGAAGACATGATGCAGGAACACCACATTGAAGGCCACCAGCAGGGCTCTGGGGCACCCCAGCCCCGGAGATGGCTAGTGTGTCTCTTGTTGAGGAGGTGACACAGGCAGCAGTGATCACTCGCACACGGGGACAGGAGCTCCTCTGAACTTCAGGGATCATGGTCCCTTGAGGGGTGTGTGAGTGGACGCGAAGCAGGTCTCTGAGGCAGGTGTACGATAGAGCCAGTTGCAGTCCCTAAGGCCTGATGGTTCTTCAATCCTGAGGGTCAGGGCAGAGGAGTGCGGCTCGGGAGACCACCCAGAGTTAACAGTATGGTACCACTTGGAAGGCCTGGCTTTTCAGGGAGGACCAAGGGGGAGCACCAGAGAGGAGGCCAGAACAGTTGATTTTTCTCCCACAATATGTGTCAAGCACATGGTCAATGGCAGCAGATGGACCATCAGCAAGGCAAGGAACTGTTGCCAGTGAAAAGGGCCAACATGGCCTGTACGCCCTTTGTCATGGAGTTGTGCTGTGGGAAATGCTTACTGGGAGCTGTAACACCATGTTCGTTTGTAGTTTCTTTTGGAAATAGTAATGGGAGCAGGTAACAGATGACACAAGGTTTCATTTGTTTTTGTCATGGCATGGTTTATTCAACCCCTGGCAAAGGCTCGAAAGGGCATTCGCCATCCCATTCTTAAGCTGCGGTGTGAGGAAGCATTCCTCACTACTCTGCTGTACCTAAAAGGGAGTAGCTGATGGTTACAGCTGTATCACTGTCTCTCTTACTGTCTTTCAGTGTTAAGGGCTCATGTCAGATTGGGTGTTTGCCCTTCATGACTGATGTTTCCTTCACCTTACCTGTGCTTTCATCTGTTTTATCTTGGCCTTTCTTATCACAGCTCCAGCTGGCTCCAAGCCATATCCCAGTAGCCTCAACTAGCATTTCCGTGCAGTGCTGGGGAGAAGCTTTTCAGCAGGCAGGTGCAGGTGGCAGCAGGGTTGTGGAATGGTATGGACTGCCAAATGTCTAGCACAAAGGGATACGGGGAGGCAAGAACCCTGTGGGGCTTTTTGTCTCCACATAACTCACACAGGCTTAGTACCACAGGTACTAAGGTACCACAGGTCAGGTCAGCTAAGCTCAGTCCTGCCCACAGCCCCTGTGGGAGCCACTCAGTTCTGGGCTTCCCTGCTGCCCATGGCTACACTAAAAGGGAGTTTCTTAAAGAATTCTAACATTAAAGTCTCTGAGAGACTCCCTTTACATGTAGATGCCAATGTAGTACTATGCAAGGTACCAAAAGGCACCCAGAGGCTACCAGCATGCATGGAAAGACACATGAAGTTCAGGGGTGCATGGAAAAGAATCCAATCATGCTGGCTTAGACTGACAGCTAAAATGGGGGTGGACTTCAGGGGGCAACAAATTAATATGAAGGTTTCTGGGGCATTTGTCTTGCTCCCAACCTTAATGCTAAACCTAGATCTTTTCCAAAGATGAGATTTGGCCAGTCTCCCAGCTACAGCACAGAGATAAAGTGAGGGAAGAAACCTGTTTTGTAGCTCTACCTTCTGGCAGCCTCTTTGCAGCCCTGCACTAATAGGAGCTCGAGGCATTATCTCTTTCCAAACCGTATCTTTTACACTAATCCTAGTCCTAGGTTGTTGGCTGGGAGGAAAATTTATCGGGGAGAAACATTTTGAAACCTTTTCCGTTCTTGGGTAGCACATGGTGGAGTTGTGTGCTCTCTGGGAGACACATGGAATTGAAAGGCACACAGTGACCCTGCGGTGCATCTGAAGGCAGACATAGGCCTCTGGTGAGTTGGGTCGGAGGCTGCTTATCCTGGCACTGGATCCCCTCACTGGCTCACAGGGAAACAGTTACAATGGCTGGGTGTAGGCATCTGTGAAGGTCGTGGACCATGGCCTGCCAAGTGCCTGCTTGCCTTGCATCAGTGCTTCCTGCAGACAGAGAATCTCTTCCAGGAGTGTGATTCTTTGTGCAGGTTGTGGCAGGCAACAGTAACGGAGCCCGTGAAGATGCAGAGGAAGATGCTGCCCAGGAAACAGAATGGTCCGATGAGCAGAAAGAAGGCGTAGTCCTGGACAAGCAGTGAGTTCTCCCAGCATTGCCTGAAGGATTCATTCCTGAAGGCCATGATGGGATAGTTGTTCAGCTGCTCTGGGGATGTGCACAAGAGCAAACTCTTCTCTGGAAGAGAGAAGTAACATTGATGGGCACGTCACCTGGCTGCACTGGGCAGTTGGGTCAGGGTAGGTGGGTGTCATGGACAGGGAGATGACAGGTCCACGTGGGACAGAGGGGGCCAGGGCAGATGAATAAGGCCTGTCAGCAGCCAGGTGGGCCAATATAGTCCAGGGCATGGTGCAAAGATGGGTAGCAGCAACGGTTTGGGGCTTTCCTATGTCTGATGGCTTGGGGAGAGGGAGCAGCAGGTGGGGTTAGAACAGTACAGGGAAGGGCATGACAAGACTGGAAAATGGAGTTGGGAGGGTGTGGGATGTGGTGGAACACGGGTAGCAATGGGCAGGCAGCCTGGCAATGCCACAGAAAGTCCCCAGCCAGCTCAGGCAGAGGCAGGCAGACACCCAAGGCAGCAGCAAATGGTAGCAGATGGCAGCAGCAGGAGAGACCTCTCCTATAGGTTTCTCTCACCAAGGCTTCCAAAGGAAGGAAATGAAGGATCAGACTGCCACGAAGACACTGAGGAAGGTATGAGGCAATGAAAGCAGTGAGCCATGGCAGAGTCAGGGGTGTTGCCCTCAGATGCCCGTTGTCCAGTGTCCCTTGTCCTCATCATGGCTGAACTGATGTAAGTGGTGGGAACATTGCCCCTTCCAGCACTCCAGAAAATCCTTGCTAGTGACTAACAACCATAGGTCAGCCAACTGAGGGTGGGCACCAGGGACCAGACCCAGGGACATGGCCAGCCGGAGGAACACAAGAGACACCATGTCCTGCTATGGGGCATGGGGAACCTCACTGTACCCTGCACCAGGCACAGTACTGGGTTGTGGTGCCCAAGGCGTAGGCTCCCATATGGGTCTGCAGCTGCAGGCAACCACAGTGCTGGGGTTGAGCCTAACATGGGTGCCTGGTCCACCTGGAGAAGGTGAGGAGAACGGGGTCAGAGCACTCTGCACACTTACCTTTCGTTTTTTCCCTGTTGTGGCTGAGCCAGTGCCAGAGAGGCTGGATGCTGCAGGTGCACACCCAGGGGTTGCTGTTCAGGAAGAGTGCCCGGAGCTGAGGCAGGACATACAGCACCCTGGGCTCCAGCTCCCCCAGCATGTTGCTGCCCAGGTTGAGTGTGACCAAGCTGGTGAGGGGCAGGAAGGCTTCCGAGGTCAGCGCAGTAAGGTAGTTGTTGCTGAGGTCCAGCTCCTGCAGTGTCCCGAGCCCCACCAGGGCCTTACTGTGAATCGTCTCCAGATGGTTGTGAGGCAGGCTGAGTCGCAACAGCACCGGCAAGAAGAGGAAGGAGCCTGGCCTGAGTATGGTGATGAAGTTGTAGTCAAGCCACAGAGTGCTGGTGTTAGCTGGCAGGTGCTGTGGCACCTCGTGTAGCTCATGTTCGGTGCAGTCCACCTCTCCCGCAGAGCAAGCACAGGGAGCTGGGCATGCTGGCAAGGGCGGGGAACACAGGAGGAATAGGAAGGTACCGATCAAGGTGCCCGGGTCCCTCCAGTTGCCCATAGCTGCCTACTGAGATGGCAAGGGCTGCCTACCTCCGGCGTGGATTCCCCTAGAGCTGCGTTCCTTGTGCCCGTCACCTTGTCCAGCCACCCCCAGCCTTTGGGCCTGCCCTCCTGGGCACCCTTGGGTGAAGCTGGGTGCAGGGCAGAGGTGCCGGAGAACACCTGGCTCCAAGGTCAATGTGCTCAGCTCCTGATAGCCCCTCGTGTTTCACCGAACACGGTTCACCACCACCCTCCGTCTGCAAACCTAGAGCTGTCTGCACGTCCGGCTTCAGCTTTCCTCAGGGTGGAGCTGCACTTTTCTTAGCAAATATTTTTGCAGTGATGCCTGCCCTGGCAAGGTGCGGAGCCGTGCCCTCATCCCTCCCCCGCCAGGCACTGTTCCAGCCAGGTAGGGAGCCAGCTCTGCACAGCCCAGGATTAACTGCTTGTGGGTGCTGCAGGCTGGAGAGCTGTAGAAAAACAGACCCATCTTTTGGTCTTCATACTCCCCTCAGAGTAACCCCAACGAATGTGCTGGCCCCCACCCCACGGTGTACAGAAGGGTGTTTGGGCACAGGGCCTCTGTAGCTGACTGCAATGGGTCAAAGCTTAAACCATGTTATGGAGAGGTCTAATCCCATCTCCTGTGCTGACCCTGCCATGCCCAAGAATTCCTCAATGGGGTTCTGTTAACAGCCACTAGCCACCTTACTCCTTGCCTTGGCTCTGTTTGCATGTAGTCAAAGAGCACAAGCTGTGCCAACGTAAGGAGACATGGAGAGCCAAGTCTGCTGAGTTAACCATCCTCAACCCCAGAAGGATCCTCTGGAGCTCCTGCCCTGGGGTGATGGAGGTGTATTGCAGCTGACAGGACACACACTGCTGGCCCAAACCATTGCCAGCTCATCCAGGCGTCCTCGCTGACCACGTACTCTAGCCTCTAGACTGCCCTCGGAGAGCTTGTGCTGAAGGAGTTGGAGAACTTGGGCTATCCCATCACACACACACTCACATGCACAAACATGTCAGTATGCACACAGGGGGCAACCCAGCAACTTCCACTTGAGAATGAGTGAGAAACATGAACATTGGGACTGTAGCCACCTGACCCGAGTGCGCCTTCACCTTGGCATGACAGTGGCAGTGTGAGAGGGCTCAAAGTCTAACTCCACCCTGTTTACACCTGCACTGGTTTCAGAACTGTCTGAAACCCCATAACAGAGGCTAATGAGGAGAAGGTTCAATCCCACCACCTGCTTTCCCTGACAAAGCTCAAGCCTGCAGGTCACACCACAGCCAGAGACAGGCTCTTCCTGTGGCCCTACAAGGGCCTGCTCAATGCCGGTGTGGAGACTTGTGGACCTTCTATTCATGGGAAAGACACAGAAAACTTGAGGATCATCTGGAAGCGCTTCATCCCACTCAGTGTCCAATGCTGTGGCTGGGAGCAGAGAGATGTTCCTCAAAATATGCTCTCGCAGCCCCTTTGCCATTTGGGATCCTTCGGCATTCATGGCCCAAAGGGAATCCCTGCCACCCCCGCCCCACAGCAAAAGCAAGGCAGAGTGAACACCTGCGCCCCAGGCTGGGAATGCAGCACTCCGAGATCAGGCACAGAAGCAGCAGGCAGACCGGTTTTATTAATAGCATCCGGAGGAGCTTTGGTTTGTTCATCTGTCCTGTGGCAATCTCAGTTTGCTGCATTAATCCCCATCTGGAAATAATTCAGAAGAATCTGCCAACCCAGACTAGCCCTGCCCCGGAGCAGGTCATGAACCCACAGGCATGTGGAGTGGTAGCACTGACTCACCCAGCCAGCACCCGCAGCAGCCGCAGACTCTTTGGGGACCCAAATCACAGGGGACTCTGTCCCAAATGCTTCTTCCTTGCAGCATGCATTACCTGCTTCCTCTGCTCCTCTGAAATTGTGTGGGATGTGCAAAACTAATCGAGAGGAAAAGAATCTTACTAAAAGCTTGGAGATTCCCAGTTACTGGAAAGCCCAGGAGGCTCTAGACCCATCTCAAGCCTTTTTTCTAGCCTGCTTTTTGCCAGTCTGCTCACTCGGATGGTGTGCAGCATGAGGCATGTTCACATTGAACTCCCTATCCTCACCACAGGACTGGTGCAGGCCTGTCACTCCTGTTCTGCATGCCTAGGTTGCACCCAACCGACTGCTCAGTGTGGTGAATGCCCCAGCTGTGGGGCCATAGCTTTGCCTGCCTGCAAGGGTGAGAGTGCAGGTGGGCCCCCACAGCCCAAGGATCTTGGTGCGATGGGACCCCCTCCCTTTCCAAAAGCTCCAGCACCAACCCAGGAGAGGCTGTGACTCTGCTGGCAGCAGGAAATTCGGGGCATGAAATGCTCAGTTTCTCAGCACCAATGTTTGCATTTACTGCCCTGCAGCTGTATTTCTCTGAGACTCCCTGCTCCAGTGCATGCTCCCGGGGGAGTTCTGCTTGGGCAGGGAGGCAGGAGGTCTCCATGCCTGAGCCTGCAAGGGTGAGAGTGAGCCCGTG